AATTAGGCATTGAGAAGCTTGTGGACTGGGCAGGTCTAGTCTTTGTGAAGTTGTCTTCTCCTGGGTCTTCTCTACTCTGGGGATGTAACACTTTGGGGATCCTAATTCCAATTTTTGTCTCTTTGGGCCTGTAGACTTCCAGAAGATGTGCTTGGCTTCTTAGTCTCCTAGCTGCAACTTGGGAATCAGCAGGTACTTTGAAGGGAAGAACTTGATTATATGTCAGTTTCACCTCCCCCAAATACATGTCTGTGCTGCCACAGTAGTTCTTTTATGACTTGAAACAGATTTGTTTTTATACTTTGTCCAGCTTCTGTGACTGTTTTCAGTAGAAGGGTGGTCTTTAACTGCCATTACTAGAAGAAATTCCCTACATCTGTTAATGTCTTGATGAAGATGCATGGTGTGGTCGGGAGGTGGTGGCTGAGTAGGTTGCATATAATATACCCACTCAAACATTCCTATCTCCTGAATCTTCAGACTCTTTTCTTAGTCTATAATATACCAGGGAAATTTTGGCATCTCAACATCATTGACTATAGGCCATTGTTAAAACCAGGCTTTAATAAACGAAGGAATCAAACCTTAGAGCCACCCACAGGTGATGAATATAACACATTACATCAGGGGTCCTGAGTGAGTGCATATTTATTCATAAATTTGGCTGAGTCCAACCTTATATTTCATCCTCCTTGGTTTTAGATTCCGTGCCCACATATGACTGTCAGCTTTCTCTCAATACATATTGGCAGGATATTCTAACTCCCTTGCTGTATAAATCTATTTTCACCCCCGCCCCTGCAGACCCCAGATCATCTTTCTGGGCTATGCTGGGAGTTTACTCTTGTTATGGGCCTGGAGCCAGCGAGGTGTCATGTGGGCAGGTTTTGAGGAGAATAGGCATTTACATGGGAGACAAACGCCTCAGGTAAAGTCTTGAAAGCTCTTCATGTTAGTGAATGCTAATTTTCTCATACAGGGAAATGCTGCTTCTGTTGGCAAGGGAGGTTTGGGATTTGGGAACTCAGCTTTTTAAATTATTATTAATAATATATTAGCATTGTTTGTTCAGTAACTCTAGAATCTGCAATGATGTCTATTTCTTTGCATTTATGAGCTCTATTTTGAATCTTCCCTCTCTTTCTATTGATCAATTTTTGTAAAGACTATTAATTTTTCAATCTTTTAGATGTGTCTGCTTTCTCTGTTACACATTTGTCTTAATAACTTTTGATAATTTGGGGGCATAATTTTATCAATTTCTATTCTAATTCTGTTATTCTCTATTTTTTCAAGTTTCTGCATCCAACTTTCTTTTTTAAAAACTGAGATATAGTTGACATATACCATTGTGTAAATTGAAGGGTTAAAACATATGGTAGTCCCCCTTTATCTGCAGGGGCTACATTCCAAGCCCCCCAGTGGGTGCCTGAAACCATGGACAGTTCTGAATCCTATATACAGAATGGTTTTTCCTATACATGTATGTACCTATTATAAAGTTTAATTTATAGATTAGGCACAGTAAGAGATTAACTACAATAATAATGAAATAAAACAATTACAACAATATACTGCAATGAAAGTTATGTAAATAATGCGGTCTCTCTCAAAATATCTTTTTGAACCGTACTCACCCTTCTTCGTCTTGTGATGATGTGAAATGATAAAATGCCCATGTGATGAGGGGCACCTGGGGGGCTCAGTCAGTTAAGCAGCTGACTTCAGCTTGGTCATGGTCTCAGGGTCCTGGGAGCAAGCCCCGCGTAGGGCTGCTTGCTTCTCCGTCTCCCTCTGCTCCTCCTCCCGCTCATGCTCTCTCTCACTCTCTCAAATAAATAAAATCTTTAAAAAAATGCTCATGTGATGAGATGAAGTGAAGTGAATGACATTGGCATTGTGTATAATGTCAGGTTACCGTTGACCTTCTGTAGATAGATCAGAGGAAGATCATCTGTTTCCAGACAGCGGTTGACAGCAGGTAACTGAAACCGAGGGTAAGGGAGGACTACTGTATTGATTTGATACATTTATATTGCAATATGATTGCCATTGTAGCATTAGCTAACACCTCCATTGCGCCACATAATTACCACTTGGTCTGCATCCACCCAAATATTCCCATCACAAGTCTAGGGTCCTACTTCCCTATCGGTGTCCTAATTGTAGCAAGAGAACTTGCTGAGGTGGAGCATTTATCCTTTCCAATAATTCTGTAACCTGAACTACAGTATTTGAGATCTGCAGATGACCCCTGTCTGTCCTACGGCTATACCGGATAAAGGATTCTTTTGCTTTCACCACATCTATACCTTGAGATGGGGATGTGATACTTCATGCTTATCTTTAAACAAATAAGCAAACAAATAAACTCTCTAGGGCAGTTAGAAACAGCCACCTCACTCTCCAATCTTTGTAGTTATCACTGTTGCTATAGCAATCAAGTTCAACAGCAGCAAGAACCCCCAAAGCCTTGTCCCCCGTCTGTCCCTCATACTACCTGCAGTGCTGATTTGAGTACCTTGCTGCCTCTGCGTGTCACAGATCACTACATCCCTTTTGCTCCCTGCGCATGCACAGATAGGTGAGTAACCCAGCCAGAATTCCATATTGAGGAACTTTTCCTGGGGCTGCTGCAGGGTCAGGGTCTTGGCTGGAAACAGAATCCAACTCAGAGTGGTTCGAGAGACTTGCTACTGAACAGGTGTAGACAGGCTTAGGGAGCCAGCTGTATTTGTTTGCTGGAATTGCCATAACAAAGGACCACAAACCATGTGGTTTCAAACAACAGAATTGTCTCACAGTTCTAGAGGCTAGAAGCCTGAGGTCCAGGTGTTGGTAGGGTTGGTTCCTTCTGAGGGCATTAGGGAAGGATCTGTTCCAGGCCTTTCTCCTAGCTTCTGGTAGTACTTTGGCTTGTGGCAGCAGAACTCCCAAATTCACAAGGTGTTCTGTGTGCATGTCTGTGTCCAGATTTCCCTTTTATAAGGACACCAGTCATATTGTCTTGGGGCCCACCCTAATGACCTTACTGTAACTTAACAAATTACATCTGAGACGACTCTATTTCCAAATAAAGGCACATTCTGAGGTACTGGGAATTAGGACTTCAACCAAAGAATTTTGAGGGACACAATTCAAACCATAATACCAAGAAGAGGTGATGAGCACCCAGAGATGAGCAAGAGTAGGATGTTGTGACCGCCATGCAAGATATTCTCCATCGGCCCCTTTCCAACCTTCTTCACCTTGCTCTGTGCCCAGGAGGCTGCATTCCCTGTGCCCTAAACCACAATGTCATATATACTGATCCACTTACCGGACATGTCGTCTCTACTTGATCTGGTGGCAAGTGCTCGCTTCGGCAGCACATATACTAAAATTGGAACGATCTGGTGGCAAAAACATATTCGTTTCCCAAGCCCCAGTCAGACAACAGCTGTTCTGGGGCGGGGGGGGGGGTTCTCAATCCCCTCCCTGAAGAACTGACCCTTCATTCTCTGCATCCCCATTGTCCCCAGCATGACTCCCACTATGCCTTGTGCCTATTTGCCTACCTGTGTGTCCATCAGGGCAGGGGCCATTTCCCCTTCTCTGCAATTCCAGGGCCTGGCAGTATGTCTGAGAGGGGGAGGTTCCAGTGAATGTTTCTGGAAGGAATATTTTCTTGCCATCCCTGGCGGCTCTGTATGCTCCAGGGCATCCAAATCCCCCTGATTAGAGCTGACTTCCTTCCTCAGTTTTGCTCAGGGGATATTTGTAAGTGATCTTCCAGTGCTTGACCACAGATGCCCCTGCCCTCTGGGTGGGCATTTCTGTTCACCCCTGGCACAGGGTTCTTCCCGTGGCTTCTAGCCCACCTGGTCAGGTCCAGGCTCTGAGCTGACCCCTTCTGATCCTCTGCAACCAGATTCCTCGGCTTCCAGTGAGAAGCATCACTCAGTTACCACATGTTGGGTGGGGGATTTACTTCTACTTTTCAGTTCTGTCCTAATTAAGTCACATTTTGTTAGGGACCCCTTTGTCAAAACCTAAGGGCCATTTTGATGGGAGTTTTTCTTTACTTCTCTTTTGCTAGGAGTGTTGGGATTAACTGCCTCTCCCAGGACACAGCTAGGAGGACCACCAGCTTGTTTGAGGTCAGCTACCATGTGTCTATTTCTACAACAGCTTTGAGGAAATACTCATTTTTAAAATCCTACCTCCACACTCCCTATAGCTTTTCTTTAGTATCACCAACTCCGTATTTCCCAGCCTTTCAATTCTCTTAGAACAAATGCGAACAAATTCATTGCGGTGTAGGGGACTCGCAGGGGAGCCCTAATATACCCACGAGGGCGTCCAGTTCTAGTTTGGTCTGATGCCTTGCTTCAGGGTCCTACAATATCGCTACCTCCAGCAGCGCTGTCGGATCCCACGTGAGACCAGGGAAAGCGTGCGCCAGGCATTTTTAAAAAAATTGGAAAATAATTGCTTTTAATTTTTAATGCTATTTTTTGGTTATCTGTAAAAATGTTCCTTGTTGTGTTAAATGCTACGTTATTCCAAACACACCTGGGTTTTCCGTCGTGCATTCTGTTGCCCCAAAAGACAAATAAATGCCCTCGGTTGGGCAACCTGCAGCTGTGAGAACAAGATGTCCTTTTCCCTTGCTCCTCCTCCTCTCAGAGTGAGGGGCGGGGAGACAAGTCCTGCGGTCTCGAGCTGCCTCCCAGGACCAGCGGAGGAAAGCGAAGAGTCAAGGCGCTCCCCGCAAGCGCAGCGGAGAGAGGAGGGGGGAACCTGGCAGCAGGGATGGGACTTCCTCCCTCCACTCCGGAACTGTGCGCTGGAGCGGCTGGGACTCGGAAACCCAGGCGGCGCCGCGGGAGCTGGAGGATTGGGGGTGGCCGGTGGGCGGAGCCGGGGCGGGCCGGTGGGCGGAGCCGGGGCGGGGGCGGGGCCTGCGCGGCTGCGCGGGCTGCGAGCGGCTTGCTGCGCCGGCCGCGCTCCCGGGACTCTCGGAGCGCCGGACGCCGGCCGGCTGCGGTCCCCGCTGCAGCCGCTTCCTCCCGAGCGGGCTCGGCCCGGCGCGGCAGGCGGCCGGGGCGATGTGAGCCGGGGCCCGCGGGCGCGGTCGGACCGCTGAGATGTGGCTCAAGCCCGAGGAGGTGCTGCTGAAGAACGCCCTGAAGCTCTGGGTGACTCAGAAGAGCAGCTGCTACTTCATCCTGCAGCGGCGCCGCGGGCACGGCGAGGGGGGCGGCCGCCTCACGGGTAAGGGGCGCGCCGGGGCGGGCGGGCGCAGCGGGCCGGGCCCCGGACCTCGCTCCCCGCCTGGCCCGCGGCCCCCCGCCCGGGGTGCATCGCAGGTGGCGATTTCGTGGGAGACGCCGGGCCGGGACGGCCCTGCCTCGGGCTTGTTTTCCTTTCTTCTGCATTTCTCTTGCAAGCCCCCGTCGAGGTTGTGGCAAAAGGGACTTGCAGGCTCGTGCGTTTTTGCGGGCGAGGCAGGTGCCTTCGCTGCCTGGCCCAGTGACCGCATGGAGGCCAGACTTGGCTCAGGAATCGAAGGAGAAACGCCGACTGGAGCGCGAGCCGAGGGGGCAAGGGCCGCCCCGGCAGGAGCGCAGGCCGCGGTGCGGGGCCAGGTGATAGCGGGGTGCGCCCCGGCCGGCCCTGACTCGGCCATCTGGAAGCGCCCGAGGCTCCAGTGGTGTCTCGGCTGGGGACACACCGCCGGCCCACGGCCCGGCGCTGCTCGGGAGACCGTGGCAAGCCGGGACTGTCGGGTCTGTGGGCAGGGCGGGCCGGGGACCATCTGCGCACCCGGAGGAGAAACTGAGGCAGTGCGAATCCCAAGCTTATGATCGTAGTAGCAAAACTGAGCAGGTCAGTTACCCCCTCCCCCACTTGCTTCTTCCAAGCAATGATAGGAGGAAAAAACTCAGGCTTGTAAAATTTGTGAAAAACAGCATTTTTTCTAAAAGTTATTCTCCAGAGCTCTGTGAACATCAAGCATTTGGAAAAATTGAGGCCAGCTGGCATAGCTGGGCCACCTGTTTAAGTGGGTCAAGGGAAGAACAGTTTATTAGCCTTTTTCATTTGTGTCTAGGGAATCTATGTGAAATTTCTAAATTTTGGAATCTGAAATAAAAGAGACCTTAGATCTTTTTCCCCATTACATCCCTTCTTATGCTGGGAATGAGTATGAGACCACGACTGGAGAGAGAGGTCAAGAGACTGAGCTTGGGTCCCTAGGCTTACTGTTGGTGACTCCACTGTTTGCTTATTCTGGGGGAAGGTCCTCCTGGAGTAAAGTCTAATGGGGAGATGTGATCAATAGACCCCGAAACAGCAGAACTACCTGCAAGGGGAATTACCTTCCTGTACTTGAGACTCTGAAGGTGAGAAGGCTGGCAGTTGGGTGCCCTAAGAGGGTGGGCTTCGCTGCGTCTCAAGGAGTGGGTACGACTTGGTGGCATTCTGGATGGAAGAGTGGTGGGGTGGTTGAGGAATCTGGATGGAAGGGGGGAGTGGGGTGACTTACGGTGGTGAGTAGTGGGAACAGGTTGGGCAGCAGGTGGGCCTGCTCTGGGAGAGCTGCTTTAAGCTCTGAGGGAGGGAGTTAGTATAGGAGGCAGGAGGCCATAGAGGCCTTGGTAGGTCCCTTCATGCCAGAGCTCTTGGGAAATCGAGGTTGGTGGTGCCCTGTGAGGCCCACCCAAGGCAAAGAGGCCGGAGGAGTGGTTTGTCCCCCCAGTCCTTTAAGGGCAGTGTATTTTAATTTTTGGTATGTTAAGCATAGTACCTGGCCTGTAAATGGTCTCCTTCAGTAGAGGGTGAGGACAGGGTCTGAACATATGGAACATCTGCCCAGCAAGTGTTTTTATCACTTAATTCACTGCTCGCTGACCCTGGGGGGTGTTCTTGTGGCTGCCTTGGGAAAGACTTCAGGATATTCGACTTCTAGCAAGGGTGACAGGTCCAGACAAGCCGGGCAAAGCCTCAGATACGATACCTGATAGAGAATGAGGTCAACCTCCCTTCCGGAGAACCGGGCTTTATTGTCCAGAGTCTATCTGCGATAAACTCAAAACGATACAGCCCCCCTCCTTGTTGCATTCCAAAATCAAGGAGGTCACATGGCATCCCACCTGTGGCATTGGCCTTTCTTGGTGTATACTTTGGTTTGGGCTTATAGTGAGTTTGCAGTTTTCTTGTTAAAGGCAATATGATCGACCAAAAAAAAAAAAATACCCCACAAAAAGATGACACTTTGCTTTATTTCTTGGGGACTCAGAACCTCCCGTTGATTGTGAAAGTGTGACATCTCCTTGGCTGCTGGATTTCTTTACCCTCAGGTTTTTAGCTGGGAAGCAACTAACCAGAGCCATGCTGATTGAGCAACCCAGAGTTACCACATCCACCAATGGGCTGGTCTGAACCCAAACATGAATGTTGTAAAGTCGAGACTGTATGACACAGAGGGCAGCTTCATGTTGGTGGCGGTTTTCAGAATACGTAGAACTCTAATTTAGCAATTTATTTTAAAGGTTTAAAACTTAAGACTGAGTTTATGAAAATAATGAGGGCTAACATGCCTATTCTGACTGGTTCTAGGCATTTCTTTGGAGAGAAGCAAGTAGAAATGGTTGAGGGGTTGGAAATAAAATGTAAGGGAGTGGTAATGAAGGGTCTTTTTTTTTTATTGTGTTGCTGAATTTGTTATTTGTAGGAGCTTAAACATGAGATCTCCATTGGTGTTTAATCTGACATGTTTAAAAATTGCCCACCCTCAGAAATAAAAGATTTTTTTTTTAAAGATTTTATTTATTTGTTTGACAGAAAGAGACACAGCGAGAGAGGGAACACAAGCAGGGGGAATGGGAGAGGGAGAAGCAGGCTTCCCGCTGAGCAGGGAGCCCGATGTGGGGCTCGATCCCAGGACCCTGGGATCATGACCTGAGCCGAAGGCGGACACTTAACGACTGAGCCACCCAGGCGCCCCTAAAAGGTTTTGTTTCTTTGAGGATTATAATTAATCTTCCTGTTAATACACACACACACACACCCCTATATACATTCCCTATATCCATCTCCAGTTTTATTTTCTCCATAGCTCTTTCTCACTTTCTAATATACAATATACTTACTCATTTTGTTGGTTGTTTCCCCATGCTAAATTGTCTGTTCTGAGGGTGGGCATTTTACCTATGATGGTGCCTAGCACAGAGTATATGCTCATTAAACGTTTGTAGGATGAATATGTGGATGAATATATGCGTGAATGATGGATTCTACTTTTCACTTAAAAGCTGGGTGGGAGTGGAGGTCCAGCTTTTCTGACAGAGGCTGAGCTGATCACATGGGACAGGAACATCCCCTCTCTCTTCTGGGCTTCCTGTTTACCTGGCAGTCTGATCACTGTGGAAAGCTGGAGGGAGTGGGTGGGAAACAAAGCCCTCTTCTTCCTTTTTTTTTTTGTAGCACCCTTCTTTCCCAGGGAAGGATCATGGCCTCACCTTTTCATGTGGCCTGTTACCACCCTCTAGGACCTGTCTGGGGAAGGAAATCCTGGGCTTGGGGACAGTAGTAGGAGGCAGAGACCTTTTCCTCCAGTTAGAACATGGTGTGGCTGAATATAGAGCATCATAAAATGTTTCCAAAGCTCCTGGGACAGAAGTGATTTTGCTGCTCTGGAAGGGAGGAAGTCAAGGTATACAAGTATTCACTTGGATACAGTCTCCAGCCCTTGGGAATATTTATTATTATTATTATTTTAAAGATTTTTATTTATTGAGAGAGAGAGAGAATGCTAGAGAGAGAGCATGAGAGGGAGGAAGGTCAGAGGGAGAAGCAGACTCCCCGCCGAGCAGGGAGCCCGATGTGGGACTCCATCCCGGGACTCCAGGATCATGACCTGAGCCGAAGGCAGTCACCCAACCAACTGAGCCACCCAGGCACCCGATTTTTTATTATTATTAACTTTTTTATTTAAATGTAGTTGACACACAATGTTACATTAGTTTCAGTGTATAGGAATATTTCTTAAAAAGCAGGGAGTCTGCTTCTCCCTCTGACCCTCCCCCCTCTCATGCTCTATCTCATTCTCTCAAATAAATAAATTCTTTAAAAAAAAAGTTCAGTGAGCTCTGGGAGAACTGAGTGGGAGAAGTTAGCATTTGGGAGGTGCAGACAGAACACATCATTGCTGTCCTCTCCTCCAGTGTTCCCTGAAGCACTTAAAATGAGCAGCACAAATGTAACTTTAAAGACCGAATGTCACCACCCAGATGGCCCCTCTGAAGGATTTTCTTTTTCAGTGTTGTGTGTTCCTGTATAATCTTGCATTTCTTTTCCCAAAGAAGCTGGCAGTTAAAAAATTGTAATTTGAAGAAAATCTTGATGTTTTCAGCTTTTCAGAATGTTTACCTTCAGCCCCTGTTCCTGTCATTGCATTGTAATAGGGGCTAACAGTTTCCCCAATAGCTAGGGTCATGGGGAGGAAGCAGGGTGTATGGAAAATAGGGGCTTTGAGGCAAGATAAGTCTGTTGCTTACAAATCAGGGCAGAGAGGCCTTGAGCTAGTTTATTTCGTTTCTTTGAACCTTAGTTGTAACAGCTTCGAGACAGGGACAATAATGAAGTTTACTTTAGAGGGTTACAAACTATTTTCCACTGTGGCTGTACCATTTTACATTTCCACCAGCAATGCATAAGAGTTCCAATTCAAACAAGGCTTAAAATTAAAACTATATGAGGGCCTTAGCTGCATTTGCCACCCCTGAGGTTTGGGGAAAAAAAAAAAAGGGAAATAACACTTAAAGAATTGACTAATTGACTAATTGAAAGGCTTCTTAGAATAAGCGTGTTGTAAAGAGGTTTGCATTGTAGTGAAGGATATAGAAAATACTTATCTATTACCTCAGTATGTATGTATGTATTAAAGATTTTATTTGAGAGAGAGAGAGAGCATGCGAGAGCGAGTGAGTGGGAGGAGGCACAGAGGGAGAGGGAGAAGCAAACTCCCTGCGAAGCAGGGACTCAGTCCCAGGACGCTGGGATCGTGACTTAACTGACTGAGCCACTCAGGCACCCCTATTACTGCAGTATTTAATAAGTGTAATTGGAAAGTTAAATATTTAAATAGCAGTTTGTGCTAGCAGGATTTCCTTACAGAGCTTCTTTGAAATCCTTTGTTAAATCCTGGTAAATAAAGGGAACTTCACCTTGGTGGTCTAGGCATTGAGTGAGTGACCGTGCCCAGAGTGAAT